ATTTTATAGTATAATTATAAAGTAATTAGAATTAATTTATAATTCTTATATAATTTATATTGTATAGAGTTGTTATATTTTATTTGGTTAATTTTGTAAAGTGTATAAAATGAATTTTATTTTTTTAAATTAAAATCTTTATAATTTTGTTTTAATTCTATTTTTAGGAAAAATTTTATCGGATGTTCAAATAATTAACCCCGTATTTGATTATGTTCCACCTGAATTGGTCACATTGTTTGTTTTAAACATGTAAGTATACTTTAAAAAGAGAAATTAAATTCTTTATTTTTAGCAATGAACCGAAATATACTAGATTTGTTTTATTATTATTATTATTCTTACTCTTATTACACTTCCTTATTACTTAAATAAATATTAAATTAATTTGACTTAAAGGTTTTGGAAAGATTGGATGATCATGAGCATGGGCTATGAATAAGAAAAAGTAGTTCAAATTTGAGAAAAAAAATCATATACAGATAAATCAGAATATTTATATACAGGAAATTTTATTTAATGTTATATTTGCAGTATCTGTGTACTGTATTAAGAGTGATTGAAAGGACACACAAAAACAAATTAATTTATGAAAATAATTTTTTTAAACATGCTTTTACATTATGCAATACACTTAATCCTTTTAGTTCCCAGCAATTTTTGATATTAATGTAATTAAATATAAAAAATACTTAAAACTGAAAAAAAAACAAAAGAAATGCGTTAATTTTGAAGAAAAAGCTTCAAATTTTATTTTCCATTGTCTGGTCTTTCTGTGAAATCTGACAAGGATGAGTCATTGTGTTTACAGCTGGATGACCTTGAGAACAGCTGGTGTTGGATTTCCCAGGACATTCTCATAGAAGTCTCGGGAGGCGAAGGGTTTAAAGTCGGGTGAATACTAGTTGGCCGTATATTTTAAAATATTTTTAAAAAATTAAAATTTTTATTGCGATTTCCGATCCCCCCCGATTTAATTAAACGTATATATAATAAATTATATTAATTAAAAAAATTAAAAACCTATTGGAGGTCGTTTTTGATATCAGAAAGTAGCTTTAAATAACTTTACAGAAGTAAAATCCGTGCACTACAACTTTAGAACGATTAATTAAATTTGATTAAAAAAATCCCATTAAAAATCAATTAAGCGTTAATCGTGTGTAAATCATCATTAAAGGTAAATTAAAATCTCAATAAAATTTTTTCGCGCGGGTAAAAATTTTTGAAAAAAATTTGGAGACTTAAAAAACATTCCAAAACTCCAAAAAAAATATTTGGGGGGCCTAAAGGACCGAGTTTTCTGTAACGCTATGTAACCTGCCCGAGTTAACTCCGGATAAGAACTATTCATGTTTTTGAGATTGGGAGTGGAAGATGTTGGGGTTGAACTATCTTTATGATAAACATCAATACATGCATTTACATATTTACATCGAAAACATTATTTGCAAATGATATTTTAGATTCTACATTTGGTTATATTTATTGGGTTTTGAATTGGTGAAACCCCTCTGAAAACATTATTAAAATGTATTGTCATTGGCTTAAGTATGTCCTCAAAGTTTCAGTCTTATATCTTAATTAGAAGTGATTGAAATTTGAGGACATAATACAAAGTTAAATAAAAGCATTTAAAAATAAAACAGCAGGCAATATAAAGAACAATCTTTTAATCGTTTAAAGTTAATCGTTAAAAACCAAACTATCAAAAATAGAAGAGATGTGGTCATCCAATATTTTCAATAATTTAGCATTAAATAACACATTGCCTGTCAGCATTTTGGAAGTATATCTTAAACCAGTAAAAGACCTACTGACACTGTCTTTAATTTTAGGTTATTATTATATTTTGCTCATCTATAATATATTTTTGCTTCATTTTTATTTGATGTATTCATTTTACTTAATCATTTTCACTTCCAATCTGAAGCCATTCTAAATCTTTTTAATTTTTTGAATTTTAAAATTGTATGTATAGTATTCCATAGTCCATATACTAATTTGCTAACAGTTCAATTCTGAAAATAGCTGCCCAGTCAGCTGAAAACATTTGATAAATAAAATATTTCTGTGGGAAGAGGCTAGAATTGTTTTTATTTATTCAAAACACTAGTTTACAGATAGATTTATTAATTTAGCATCATACCAGTTTGAATGCATGCTGGATTAAAGGAGCTTTACTTTATATGTATGTATAATGTAAAGATTTTTTAATGTAGCATACATTACATTATATTGAGTTAATAGATAATTATCTCATTTACTGTATCTTTTCCATGAATATATTAAATAAACATGCTTTTTTACTTTCAATATTAAAATGTTTAATATATTAAAATTTTCTTTGCAGAGGAGGAAATTCACCTACATACATCTACAGATTATTAAGTGAACTTTATCATCCTAATGATTATGTTCTTTAATTAATATATAATAAATATTGTAAATAATTCAGGATTTGTTTGTTAAAATTTATTTTCAAAAGAAATTTCCCTGATAGAATTGTAAAATAATGCAATAATCTTTATTTTATTTTATAAATAAAAATAATTTAATGTTTGTTTATGCTTTCATCTTTGTAAAATAAACATTATTGAATATCAACATTGAGTAAGAATATGTATATTTTTTAAACGTGTTTATAAGAACTCATTTACTTAAATTCCTATATAAATTATAGTTATAAATAAATAAATATCGGCGTCACCAACAGGAGCTTAGGAGTAAGACTAAAAGAGCATCGATATAACGTAAAAAAAGGATTCAATGCTACAATTTTGTCGCAAGTTCAAGGTTCGGTGGTGAAATGGGACGAGGCAACAATTATAAAACCTGTATCTTCCCCCACTTTATCAATGACGGCGGAGAAGATTGAAATATATAGGTGTAGGCTACGTGAGGGATGTTTAAATGCGAGAGATGCTGAGAGCCTGTTGTCAGCGTGGAAGTACATGATTAAAAAGTTCACTGAAAACTCAAGCTAGAATTAGTTTATTGGAAGATATATTTAATTTTTTATTTTTATTTTATTTTGTGTTATTTTTATATATTCCTCCGTTTCTCTTGTATATTTTTAAAAGTTTTTGTTCTAAAATTTTGATTTAAATATTTGTATTTTATACATGGAACGTATCTGTTCCATTTTCGTTTTTTAGACCTGATGATGGCCTGTTAATCAGGCTGAAAACGTTAGTTTTTCAATTATATTTCTCAGCAATAAATTAAGGTGTTTTATTTTCTGTGTTTACTTGCTGAGCACTTTTAATGTTATCGTTATAAATAAATGATTTTTCAAAGATCACTAACAGAAATAATGTAAAAATGTGGCAGTATTACATTAGGGCATCTTTGTATAATTTGTAACATTTATTTCTTTTTTTGCCAAATACACAGTACTCTATGATGGCAAACTTTTTTCATCTGTAAAACATGTAAACCTGTCACAAATCTTATTATAAAAGAGAGGTTTGACAGCTGGGTGGCCTGAAGCTCTGGGGATCAAGGTCATAAATCTTAGAAATTTTTCATGGGCAGTCTGACACACACGTGTTGGACTCCCATCCCTTTCCTCCCAAACATCCTTAATGTGAGCCTGGTTAAAGGCATGATAAGCATGGGGGAAAAAGCCTGAGGTTTGTGACTAGTTTACAGTTTGACAGACAAAAATAAGGTAATCATTGTCACACAGAGTAGAGACCAGAACCCATCAAATAACAAATACTTAGATTTATTTTTATCTATTTTGGTATTTTCTATTAAATTTATTTGTTGGCTAATATTTAAAATTCCAAATTAATTTTACCACTTCCTCTCCCATATACTCTACATTTATAAAAATTACTGTGAACGTTCCTGGTCATTTTTATAATGATCAGAGACATCCACAGAAAATTTTCCAGGGTGGCAAAGCTTGGATACAAACAATTACATCAGTAAATTTTTATTTTTAATCCTTAATAAATTCTTAACTCTATTATAAATAAACATTTTATAAACGGCATAAAATGATTTTAAAAATAAATATAGTTTAAATAAAAGGAATGATTTTTTTAAAATACAATTATGACAGATAATTGGATATGATATAGGCCTATAAATATAAGTAAGAAACAGGATATATGTAAATATCATCAAAGACCGGATGATACTTCCGGTTTTATTCAAACATCATCAAAAATTAAAAATCATTAATAAATACGAATTAAATGCCGCGACTTAATTATAGTTACATAGTTTTGTTTCCAAAAAGGAAAAAAATGTTCAGTTTGAGGTTAAATATTGTAAAATAAATCCACAAAAATATTGAAAACTTAAGGGATGATGAGGAGAAGACAACTCTTCTTGTCTCTAACACTGTTTTATTTTTTATTGGCAATAAAGTAATTAATAAGCGATACTTAGTTAATTATGATGTTCTTAAATGTATGATAATCAGTCAAAAAAGTTTTTCGATTAGAAATTGCAGCTTATAGATGAAATAAGTGGCATAAATATTTTATTGTGCATGAGCTCACGATCGTCGCAGGAAAAATCCAACATGTTGGATCCAATCCTACCAGTGTTCAGTGCTTTTTATCTACTAGTTCTACAGTATTTAATTCTTCAGAATTCTGATATAGTCCTACAGTTCGAACTATTTGAAATTACGACTGGGTCATTCCAGGTCTCTAGCTCGACTCTCTCAAATTTCAATGAGATTTGGCAAAAAAGTAGTTAAGACCCTTAAACTAATCCATGCAAAATATTAGCCTCATAAGTTGCATGCTTCTTGAGATATAAGCCAAAACGTGAAGGAACTTCATGCCACTTCTGTATTAATTAATTAAACAGCCAACTTCTGTATTAATTAATTAAACAGTTTCCTGATGGTTCCTTGACTAAGAGCAATTACAGCAGGAATCTTGTAGGATAAGACAGTTTCTAGTGGACAATTCTGATATGCTAACAAAATGTACTCTATTCTATTTTAATGAAAAATGAGTTCAATTCTTCCTACAATTTCTGCATTTTTCTGATTTTCATTTTTTAGTTGATTGTGATTTTTTAAATTAAAATATGATTGAAATTTCTAGCCCGGCATTGTGAAGATTTCACAATAAGTTATTACTCGTTATATTCTATTTTCTGGGTGTATTTTTTTTTAAACTTTCTGCCCTCTGGGCCTCTTAGCAAGCTCATTATGGGTTCGGCCAGGCTCACAATGGGGCGGCCGGGTGGTAAGGGATGAGGCACTAGATATCCGGTCGGACGGATGTTAAAAAGTTTGACAGAAATTTTTTTTAAATAGAAGAACGAAACGATAATTTAAACTGTGAATTACATTTGCCATCATTTGGACGCCATGTTGGAGAAAGAAGCGCGGCAACGTTAACTTATCTGCTTGGCACGTGATTGATTTCGTTTATCACACGTCAAATTAGTTTGTTTATCATTAAAATAATAAATAGAGAAGATTTCTTCGTTTAGCAGCTTGGATTCGCCATGCCGTGTCGGATTCATGAGCTCAACGGTGCTGGAACGAATTTCGAGCTGCTAAAATTTTTTTTTTTTTTCGTTATGTTTTTCTTCTTTTGGGTCGGGAGTCGCGTGATTTGTTTAAGGGCGGCAAAACTAATTTTTTTAAATTTTTATTTTATTTATTTTTGGGGGAGAGAGAGTCGCATTACAATATTTGCTTCAGTGCAATGAAACCTGTATAAAACGGAGCTCGACTACTTATCCCATTTTAGCAGGTTTCCTTTTATACGCTTGTCTTGTATCAGCTAGTTGGGCATGAGCTTCTAAGTTATATCGCCCCGTGGTAAAATGTGACGTAATTGTAATGTAATGGTAGTTGTATGCGTTTATGATGATCGGTAGGCGGGGAATAATGTCTTCCAGGAGGACTTTTAAAGATTACTAGTTCTTATTCAGGCATTACAGACGTAGAGAAAACCTGGTGACCAGCCCGTCCTGGAGTGGCGCGAACCCACGACCGAACTCCCAGTGTTCAGGGTATAAAGACCGCTTTTTCTTCTTCTTCTTTCCTTCTCTGATATGGAGATTCTGGCTGGTCACCTTTTTTCCGATGAACTCTTGTCCGCAATTAGTCAAATTGATGTGTGCGGTTGGTCATTGGTGGGCCTTTATACGCTGATGACGCTACGTTAAAGCGCCCTCTTGCGGTGGAAATTTGAAAAAGTAGTTACAAACACATGTACAGTACTGTACTGTACTTACATAGGTGCAATGAACATACTTTTAAGAAATAATTTTATTTCCTCTCACTTTTGAGGATAATTTTTTAAATAGAAAATCCATTAGAGCAGGAAAAAATTAAAATAAACAGGCCATTTTCATAATGTTACTCAAAATATTAAAAAATATACAACTTTTGGTAAATATATTCCACAAATGCACGTACCGTACTGTACATAAGTCTAGCTAACAAATTCCAGTACAAGTTGTCCAAAGGATGTAATCATCCATATTACATCTCTTTTGCTCATTTTTTAAAATTTAATTTTATAAAAATATATGATTTATGTTTAAAATAAAAATATTAATACAAAACTTTTGAAAATCTCTTTAACGTTTATTGCAAAAGAAAAAAAAGTACTTGCAAGATTTGCTGTCATCAGTATAAAACGTAAGGGAACTGATCAAAGAGATAACATAAACATATTAACTTAATTTAATTAATGGCCATATAATATTTTTTCAGCTTAGTGACCAATGGAAAATGATTTATGCCTTTTGCTCATGAAGGGCAGGACTTCTTGGTAGACGCAAGCATGCAGCACGTCTTACTTTTTTATTAGTAAAGAAGAAAAAGTAGAATCAAAAACAAGTTTACCACAAGCTTGGAACGAATCGGCAAGTTTAAAAACGGAAGAATACAAACAAACAACAATGGGGCTTAGGTTTTTTGGAACAAGAAAAAGATGTAAGAAAACAAACCAACATATATCTCCAAAACTCTTTGCTTAATTAATGAAGAGTTCATTTCTTAGAAACGCCATGGCTATGCTGTTCTCCAGATGCCATTATCAGAGACAGTGACAGGCATTACTGTTTATTGGAAATAAAATATCCATCAAAACTTAGGAATGCTTTTATAATCAATGAAGACAGACTAATAAAAGTAAAGCCTCCGTACAGCATTAACCGTTCTATTTTAGTGTTTACATTAATTATTATTTGGATCTTTATTCAAAGTCATCATGGGTTCAGCCAGACCGAAAATGAGGGGCCGAATAGTAAGGGATGGGACCTGACACATCCTGGCACCCTTGGAGAGTTACTTGTCCCGATTCTATCCCCGGGTACCTCATAGCAGTAGGTTGATGCCTAGGCTATCCCGCTGTCTACATAAAATATTAGCATTCAATATTCAAGAAACAATATTTTTAACGTTTCGATTTACGAAACAATTGATTTTGAATGCAGAAATTAGTAGAAATTTTCGTTAAATTTCTTAGGTCTTGAATAGTGTTACCATATGGTATTCAAAAGGAGGACATGTTCTCTATTTAAAAATGTCTTCTCTTTGTTCAAACACACTAACAATGATCTCTTTGTGATGCTATTTTGTCCTCCATTCATAACTTTTCATCTGATCTTATTTTATTATGTGCATAGTGTATTGTTTGTTACCGTTTTAAAATAACAAACGTGAGCTGTACGCGCATTTCGTTTAAAAAAATTAAAATATATCATTATGCTAGAAAAATAAAGTGTTCAGAAAGAACGTTTTGTATACGGAGATATTTGATTGATTTACTGCAAATATTATTTATAACATATTTTATCAGACAAATCAAAAACCAAAATAATTAATTATGTTACAATGATTATTGATTTAAAATGTATTTTCCGGAAATCGATCAAAATAACAATTGAAATTTTCCAGAAAATCTTGTTTGTCTTGGAGACCATTTGGCGCCCCTCTGAGAGTGGCCCCGGGGCATGACCCTTGTTCCCCCTCGTTATGCTAGTGCTTTGTTACATATAATTTTTCGAAGAAATCAGTCCCCACTGTACTCGGCTAGAGAATGGTTCAGTTAAGCCAGTGTTTCTCAACATCTAACGAATCGTCGCCCCCTTCACTTCAAAATTCCGATGCCGAGGGCCAAGATTAACGCCAAATTCGTACTACATTGAATAGATTAGTGACTAGTATAATGCTATTTGTTTAATTATTGTACGTTATAACGAATAAAATATCTAATTATTCTTAATGTAATGTTTTACTATATCGCCCAGAAAATTGTTTTTCGTCCCAACATGGAAAATGTCCACATGGGGCGATATCGCCCCCCGTTGTGAAACTCCGAGTTAAGCTTTTAAGTAAATTTCCGGCTCTTTCAGCAGGTTTTATTCATGTCCCTAATCTGTTAATTATTTAGTAGAAGTAAGTCGAAACCGGTTACTCTATTTGAATATTTGTATTCTTGGAAAAGAAGTGGAAAGACAAATTTTTATGACAACGGATACATAAACCTTAAATTTAAGGAAAATAAATTATAGAGCTTTTTCTGTACCACGTGCATCTCTCTCATTCATTAAATTTAATTGTAAATGATGCTACCAAAGTAACAGTTAATTTTTTTAACATTGTACACGTTTTTTTCTGCATATCCTTATAGATGGGACTTACTAAATCATAATATCACTAGTTAAACATTGAAATTTACTGCAAGATGGGAGAGCAGAATAAATATATATCAAATATTTTAATCAGTAAACTCTCAATTTCTTTGGAGATTTTACTTTCCTACTTGTTAGAAACTATTATTTTTCCTGTAACTAAAATTAATTCAATTTTACTGGTAACTTACTGTAATTCTTCAAAAAAATTACTGTATCTTAAAATAACAAAGCTATTTTACATGGGAGGAATAATAAAATGAGAACCTTTTAATAATATAAAACTTTATTTTAAAATTCATGTCAAAGACATTGTATAGATGTAAAATAATTCAAATCTGAGACAGATTCAAAACAAAAATGTATACAAATGTCATTTCATATAAAAATTATTATATCTAGCAAATATACAAATTTATGTTATTTACAATGCAGAATTTTTTTGTGATTTTTAACAATGAATCTGTGCATCTGTGCTAAGGTGATGACGACGATAAGTCTAGAACACCATTTATTACTGGAGTGACTGCTAGCTGTATTAGTGCCAAGGCTCCCATTAATTTTTCTGGTTCTTCATTCATATGCATTTTCAACTGAGATAAGTTCTGATTGGATATTCCATCTACCCTCGCTTGTTCTTCAAGTTCCTGTTTTAATTTACGTTCTTTTGGACGAGGTATTGATTTTTCTGTACGTTGCTTTTTGTATCTAAAAAGTAAGTAAAAACCATGATTTATATGTTCTTTTAATATATAAAAAAATATTTTTTCATTAATTTAAATCCTTACTTTTCTAACCAACAGATGACTTCATCATTTGCATTCTTTATAAATGATCCTTGAAGTGCAGAACAATCATCTCTTAGTAATGCTATCATCGGATGCTGTGGACAGTGTCTGTTTGCATGAGTGAATCTATTTGTACATCCTGTAAATGTAAAAATATGAGAATTTTACAATTTAATCATCAATATTTATTAGATACTTTTATAGAAGTACAAATTAAAAACTGCAAAAAAAAAAATAAAAAATGAAAAAAGTTTATAAACCGTTTCCATCCCAAACTCAATAAAACATTGTTCGTAATTAGTTGTTCACATTGAAATGTTTTTTCACCCATTAAAATACCGTGAATAAATTTGTTTTAAATAATTTTCTAGTTAATATACATGTTTTTTTTTTTCTTAAAATTTTAAGTATTTTATAATTAAACCTTTTTTTAAATATAAATTACAATATGAGTTTTCTATGTTTACAATGAATTTAGAATTAAAACAGGAAAAACATTTTAAAATATTAAATGTTCACACTATGAAATTTAATTTTGTAAATATATCTAAATTTAAAAAATATCCAGTCATTGTTACACGACAATACAATTTTCAGTATTCAATATTTTATTATTTTCCTAAAATGAAATTCATTAAAGCTTCAGATACCATGTCTTCTTTTAATATATATAATAACAAATCTTATACAAAAAGAAATGAATAATCCATAAGAAAATTATCCACAGAAAGACAAATATGATAAAAGAGAACATTTAAAATCTATTTAATACAGTCTTCCACAGGGGGCTAATAACTTAAATAATTAAGAGCTGCCTCAAGACACATTAAGTTAAACTGTAACATTAGGCTAAATGGGCCACTCTACATGAACATTAAATGTATGCAAATCCAAGAATATGAAATTATTGATATGCTAAATTCAAATATATTAGCATTATTTTATTTTAATTTAAATCTGTACAACAAATTTAAGACTAATTTAGTTAAAATATTTTTATTAATAGACTTAAGTAAAATCAGATGTTAGACACATTGAAACAATTTGAAGGCTGCATACAGCCTACAGGCTATATTATCAATCCCTAATCTAAAATATTCTGAACTGCATTATAGAATAATCCAGCAACATTTAAAATTTTGGTGATGCCATCCATTAATGATATTTTATTAAACAAAAAACTTTTTACATTTTTAAATTATTATAAAATGCCAAAATTGTGAGGGTAGGGGTGGGTTTTATAAAAAAAAAATTGTAAATGACTCCATAGACTATTCCACTATGAAATTGATATAAAAATTAAAAATTCCTTTTCAGGATCAAAAAGTGCTGATAAAGAGCAGTCAAGTCAAACTTATATCTAACTAATAATAAAACATTTAACAATATCTTCTAACTAAATTACCGGTGTCAACTGAATACACTGGATGAACCTTTATGTCCAGTAACATTTAAAATGCATGAAATGAACGTTTTCGGCCTCATTCGAGGTCAGCTTCAGGTTAAATTGAGAAGGAATTCCAAACTTAGAACACCTTGTATGGAACAATTTCAAATGTTAAATTTTAAAATAAAATCGGAACATGATTATTAACTGTATTTATCTGTTGCAAGAGCATGCCATCTATGTATAAATGCATAATAGGATTACACGGGACACCCTATGTATTTATACCATGGAATATGCACTTCAGACATCAAAGACTTTCTTCTTGCATTAATGGAGTGCAAGAAGAATGGGATCTTACTGATGTCTAAAGTGCATATTCCATTGTTCCTCATGCATTCCATTTTAGAATTCTGATGTTCCTGAGAGAGGCCTTCAGAGTAGGCCAAAAACATTCATGTCTGGATTTCATACTGCTGGACTGACTGTGAAGTTTGTAGATATATTAAATTTTTATTTAACCTAATTATATTTTTTTCAGATAAGAATTTTTTTTTATTATTAACTTATAGCAAGTTGTAGATATAATTTTGCTACAGCCATGATTGTCATGAAAGATGAAAAATAATGATCTAAATCCATGAAAAGTCACAAGAGATCAAATTCAAATTTTTATTTTTCCCAATATTTAAAGATTAGCTTACTATGTAGCCATCTGTCCAACAGAATTTAAATTCAAAATCTGAAATAAAAAAAAACTTAACCAATATCAAAATTTGGAATTAACCCAATGATTTCAACAAGAGACTTTCAGTGGCGGAACTAGAATGGCACAAAATGATTTGACAAAAGTCAGGATCTGGAGCCAACAGGGAGACTGAACAAGTTCACCAAATAGCCCATAACCTATTGACTGATTATTTTTTTCAATCAAGGATTGAAGGCTTTTTTGGGTGATGTAAGTCTATTCTTTGCAGAAAGGGTAGAGATGAGATTTGAAGTGAATGCTTGTTTTGCCTCTGGGAATTTTGTAAATGATACTTCCCGTCTTCATTTTGCATTTCTTATATATTAAAAAGTGTCTTATGGTAGTCTGTTATCAAATGTAAACCTAAGAATACCCCTTTATATCTTTCTCTAAGTAACATTTAGTTGTCCCCACCCTTGTTGAAATTCATGTTTCACTGCTACAACATAAGACAAAGTACACATTGATTGAACACTTTGTCTTTGATATATACTATAAGTAAAGCTTTTAAATATATCTCATATTTTTATATGCCATTCAATTTGCTTCCCCAATACTTGTTTTGGAGCTACAGTAGCCCCTTGTTGTATCGTGCTTGTCAGGAGACAAGGAAAAAGTGCAATATAACAGAGCAGTAAAAATTCTGGACTTTTGCTAAACAGATTAAACATGCTATGGAATCTCTATCCTTTATTCTTTCATCAGCAAGTATTTCTGATATAAGCTTAGCTTTTCTTTTCGCTTAGTGGTTATATTAATTGATGTTCATGGTTTAAACATCAATACCACAAATGCCCATTTAACATTATTGTTTCTTTAACAATGACATTTAAAGATGAATACTATTGATATCAGTTGTGATTTTATTATACAGTACTATATTTCATAATAAATTGCTTATTAAAAATTCACGTAATTATATTTTCCAATAAAAATTATAAAAATATAGTAATTGAAAACTTAAAAAATAAATATTGAACGTATAATAATACATCAAAACTTATAAAATTTCAGAGTAAAAATTCTCTAAAAAGCAAAATAAAGTCACTATTATAAAAAATTTTAGAACTTTCTATTCAAAAATCTTTTCCTTACACAATGTGAGATGAATTAGAAATTTTACAAACTTAAATGAGGAGACAGTAGGACTACTTAAAATCAATAAATAAACAACTTTTAAAAAATGGTAGGGATAAAATATTTTATTTCATTGCAAAAAGAAATTCAATGCCAATTGATAATTTAAAATTTATTGACTAATGCTTTTAGAATTTGGGGGGGAAGTGCGATATAACGAGGGGGCTACTGTATTGTAANACTTAATTTATGTTAATATAACCTTACACAATACAGAAATTAATATTTTAGATTTTTCTTTAAAATTTCCAGAAGGATAATTTACACAAACTCTTATGCTGAATGTAATTTTAACAATACAATAGTACTTCATACTTCAGAGTTTGAACACCAAATTCAACAAAAAATTTGCTTCAAAGTTCAAACTAGGTATGCAGTGAAAAATTCATTCCAAGCATAAAATAAGCTTCTGAACAAAGAATAACATCACAAATTAGTAATAACGTGTTAAATTTCATAGCTGTTATAATTAAATTCACACATCTATGTTAAGTAACATATGAAAATTGTATTAACTGATCAGAAAGTTCTAGAAGTTCAGTAAACTGAACAATCATATTGGAATAAATAGCATTACTACTGACAAAAGAAGACACATTATGAATGAAACAAAGAGAATTAAGAAGAAAACATCTAATGAAGCATGAACAAAAATTTGGAACTTTTTACTTTTGTGATTAGAATATTATGTCCTAATAAATATTGACCAGCAATTACTTGTAAATAGGAATAACACTATATTTATTAGTTGACCACAGAATATTTCAAATTAAATAAATACTTAAGGTAAAACTTTACAGTTGATAAAATCACCTCTCTTCTTTTTAAACAAGTGTTTTTGTTTTCTATATTTTTGCTTATTTTTCACTTTAAACCATGAAATTGCATTTAATATGTTTACAGATGGTGATAAAAGTTTTTTCCCCTACCTGGTTTACAACAAAATATGAAATTATTTATGTTAAGAATAACTAAAATTTTTTATCAAATTGATATTACATGATTAATTATTAAAATATGTAAAAGAAAATATAAGAATATACTTTCTGAAATTAACAGCATATATAATAAATTAGTTAGGAATTTTAAACTACTTGTCCTTTAAACGGATTAAATGAAGGAGAAAAGGATATTAGACTTTGCCCCCAAGTAGTTCTACCAGTTCCCAGAAATTTAAGACAACTTTTATTCATTGTTTAAAGGTATTAAATAAAAATTTTAAAACCTTATGGTTTATAATAATAATAATAATAAAATAATAATACAGATCATTATTATAAAACATATCAATTACCTTCAGCAGCACATCTGAAAGGCTTCTCTCCTGTATGCAATCTTTGATGAGTTTTAAGCTGTCCACTTTGTGTAAATTTCTTTCCACATTTTGGAAAATCGCAAACGTATGGTCTTTCACCTGAACAACAATAAAAAAAAATTTAATAAAAATAATAATAATATTTTAAAATATGGAACACTTTATAATTCACTAACAATCCTATTATTAAAACTATATAAACAGTTTATAAACATAAAAAAAACCACACTAAACTTATTATTCTTTAAAGACTAAAACATACCATTTAAATTTGGCGGGCGCCATTTAAAGTAATAAAACTAACCTGTGTGTGTTCGAAGATGTGCCCTTAAAGACTTGTCCCTTGGAAATACACGATTACAAACATTACATTTTATAGAACTAGGAGACGTTGTACCTTCTAATATAAGATGTGTAATACTGTCTAATCTAGGTCGACCCCTTCGATTAATATCAGACTTCATAGTGTGCTGGGGACTCTCGGAATTTTCCGAAGAAAACTCTATATTACCGGCAAATTCGCTCCAATTCCACGGATACATGTCTTTAGTAGGTGGACTCAAAGGAGATACAGACTTCAATTTACTTCTTTGTCGCTTCGGTGTAGTGAAATCGTTATTCTTCGCATAAGCCATCTTATTGTCTTCCATAAGCACACCAAACAGTTAAAGCGAAAAATTGCGCGTAATAGTTGGACGAAATTTCCCGCCAGCCGATGCATTGTGGGTAATTTAAATAAAAATTTTTAAAATCGTTTTATTATTAAAATAATTATAAACAAATATCGTACGTATTAATAATATAAATATTATATCGTCGAATAAACTTTAATTTAACTTTTAAATAAAATAACCATTGTATTATGATAGCTTGAAAGATGACTAGCGCCTCCCGTCCGCCATATTGGATGTTTTAGAAGAGAAGAACCCACAGATAAAATCCATTAACATCGTCTGAATCGACGGGACTCAGACAAAATGGAGAATACGTACGGTATCGGTGTAAAAAACAGATACGAACTGTTTTATAACGAGGAAGAGGATCCACTCGAGATATTAAAACAGCAAGAAGAAGAAAGAGAGCGAAGGAAGGCCGAAAAGTTACAGAAAGATAAAACGAAAATTGGAAAAATCGGTAATAAAGAAACTAAAGTGATTCAAACTAAAAAGAATTTGAAAGAAACAACACAGATTAATAATAACAAAGTGCAAGAAAATACAGGTTTGTTATTTTTATACTTTCTTACTCGTTCTCCATTAGGCCTAAATATATGCAAAATTTCATTTTTTATTTTAAGCATTACTTTTATTATTATTCAATTTCACTTTCATTGATTTTCTTTTTTAAAAGTGAAATGTGTATACGTTCCCGATTTTATTTTTAAACATAAATGAAGTTGTACGCAAAATAAAATAAATCGTATATTTCTAACAATGGATGTGTAAAGTGATGATAGATAAGGATAAAGGATATAAACTTTCATATTACAAAAACAAATAAGAGTATTCTTTAATGTAAATATAGTTGAATTTTTATCAGAATTCTTTGTTGTATGTGTATGGATTTTTTTTCTTTCCAAATAATCTTATTTAACATAATTAAATATGAAATTATATCAAAATGAGTTTTGATACTTGTTTCTGAAATATTTAATGCATATATGCCTTTTATTTTCTTTTTCCTTTTTTGAATTTAGCAGTGTAAATTCATTGTTGTAAGTGAAGTTGACTTAAAAGTGCGTTCCACAAATGGTTGAACGGTCGAAGCGGCAGCCTACCGCTCCGGGGACCCGGGTTTGTTTTCGGGGTTGGTCCGTCTGGATATGTTTGGTCTTGTCCCTCGCCACTGGCTGACCCATCGTGGGCCTGGCTGAATCCATAATGGGCTTGCAAAAAAAGGCCTTCTTAGTGCCCACAGGGCAGAAAGTTTTAAAAAAAAAAGTGCACACCAGATCTTAGAATGATCTTTGATTTTACTGGTAAGTGCAATGATATTGTACAGTATATTATGTAGAGTAATTAAATTGTTTGAAGAGTTTTTGATTACTCTCTCTGTACTGTATTGTTGAACTTATCATTAGGATATTTTTGCTCTCTAAGATCTTGGTAAACTTATTATCATTTTTTTGTTTTATTTAAAAGTTAGATAAAGGAAGCCTTTGGTAAAAAGTTGATTATGCAATTTTTTATATGATAAAAGATACTAATAGCTTTTATTGAACTTATTAGATGTGTAGTACATTTAATTTTAAACCAATAACTTTATGTAAGAATATCCTTAAAATTAATTTTGTAATATGAAATGCTTACTTGAAATAATAATAATAAATTGGGGAAGACAAAATTTTGGAAAAAATATAAATAGAAGTGCTTTTTTTTGTATTATTTTTATAAAAAATCTGTAATTTTGATATTGTTTTGAAGATTAGACATTGATGTTTTTAAGGAACAGTGTGGTTTTTAACTTGGAGTTTGGGCACATTTGCAAGAATAAAAGTAATAATTGTTAATTGTGAATAGCATAATTCAGCTAGTTTGTTAAAATGATTAACCTTCTTCACCTATGGCACACATGCCCAAAGTGGTACATCAGGAGAAATCATTTGTCATGTAATATATCATACAATTTCAGTTTACCACCTGATCACTTTTTTCAATCACCATCTCTACATTTATTCTAATTAAATCATATTTGTTTCATTTCTATAAATATTGTTTGCTATTTATAGAAATGAAACGAATATGCTTTAGAATAAATAAAAATGTTTGTATGCCCAAGTTTCATTAAAGATAAACATTATAACTATATGGAATGCAGACTCAGAAAGTTTGCTATTTCTCTTCTAATTAAAATAGATGGTTCTGCTTCAGAGCAGGATCATTACTTTCATGAGATGTGATATAATTTAATGTGGAAAGGCTATACAGCCTACAAAGTTGTAAGTTCCTTTCTTATAAATTATTTTTCATTTTTAAAATTTAATATATAAATAGTTTATGCTATAATGTTTATATTCATAATATGTGAGAAATTTTAAGCTTTGACATTATGTGTAAACCAGGGGTGTCCAGCCTGCGGGCTGCATGCGGCCCAAGGTAAGTTCCAATGCGGCCCAATAAATGTGTAAACAAAACCAACAAATGTTTTAATTTTTTATTATTTATTTATTTCAACGGCATAAACTCAAAAAAAAATTTCACAAAGCCGTAAACCTTTATTCATATTTAATTTTTGAGTGTAAAGAAAATATTTTCGAATACTGTACTTGGAGATGTGTGAATGCGGAAGGATTACTAAATAAAGCTGCAGTTGTGACTCAAAGGATTATAGACCCAAATTTGGGAAAAGGAGAGAAAGATGAGAAAGGACAAAAGATATAGTAGTGAGAAAGGTTAAATAGATCTTCTGTTCAGCAAATATGGACCTGTAATTTTTCAATCTTTTACACTTCTTTTTCTTTTGTCTCTTTTTCCCACATGTTTTTATTTTATTTATTGTCCTTTTTTATTTAGTATTTCTTCCAACGTTGCAAGATTTGGCTACATTGGGCCAAATGTGGCTACTTTTTTTTTGTTTGACATAAAAAATATCATTTGGTGCTTTGGCTGCTTTTTCGGCTACATATTATTTATAATTATATTAATTGAATAAAAATGCACTTTAAAATGGCGTTTTGTCGCTTTTTATTAATTAGAGACCCAAATAAAACAAATATTTGTGTTTTTCAAATAAATTTTTGTTTGTCTCTTTTAAAATAAATGAATTTATCTATTTCTAAGTAAAAGTTGAAAGTGTCTGTAGAAGTAAATTTTTTAAAATATCCTTTTTCTTGATAAAGTTTTAATACTTATTATTATAATCTAGACCAGCGATTCCCAACCTGTGGTACGCGTACCCCTAGGGGTACGCAATAGGTTGTTTAGGGGTACAGAAAAAAGTTAGTTATTATGGCAGAAAAAATAATATATTATGTATCACAAACACAACAGTATTAAAAAATTATTAGGTAAAAAATGTTCCTTGCAACAATCACAACTTTATTATGCATTTTTTCATTTAGTTTTGTTTTTCTTTAATTTAAAGTTACAATATGTAAAATTAACAATACGGGTACTCACTAAATTTCTTAAATGAGGGGTACAATCTAGAGATATGACATGTCACGGGGTACACTAATGAAAAAAGGTTGGGAACCACTGATCTAGACATGTTAATTTTTAAATATACTTGTATATTGGACCACAAGTATATATTATATATACTTGTGGCCCAAAACTTCTTGACTTCTTTCAATGTGGCCCAGAGAAACAAAAAGGTTGGACATCCCTGGTGTAAACCAAAGAAGTGAGCTGAATGAATCAATATTAGGTGAAGGAATGTAATTTACATTGACTAGTAATTAATACTTGTTACAGATTGTATGAGTGTTTATAGAAAGAATGAGAGGAGTATTTGTTTCAATCTTTAAACAAAAAAATAACGATAGTTGCAATAATAGGTACATTTTTAAATTTAAATCTTACCTTTTAACGTTTTTTCTCACAAAAAATCCAAAATATTTGAAACTGTTTCATGTCCCTGACATTTTATTTTTAGGTTATTCCAATTCCTTTATCAGAAAGTTATTTTCCAAGAAAGTGATATATTATAACTAATTTAAGAAAATGCTACACTTTATACAGACAAGTAGAATATATACTAAAAGAATATATGTATATACTAAAAGCTAAACTTGAATTTGAATCAAATTAAATCTAATTAACTGGGTTCCTTTTGAACCAAAATAAAATTGATTAAACTAATGAATTTGGTTTAACAATAATGTTAAGGTACCATTTTATTTTAATTAGAAAATAAATTTAAATAATTTAGGAAATTTTAAAAAAGGAGATTAGTTGGATTGGGATTTTCATCCATAATGTCTGCTTTACTACATAATAGCTGCTTACTGTGCAGCTGCAGTTATGTAGGAGTTGCTCTGAAAAATGTAAAAATATTGGCACAATTTCACCAGTTTTAATTTTTTTTTTCACCACTTCAAATTGTTTATTGCCACCAGTTTTACTTACTAATTAATAAAGGTGCTGGTTGCCCTATCAGTTTGTGTCTGAAAAGTAAACATGTTAAACTGTCACTTTGTCACTTAAAAGGAGAGGACAAGTTCAGATCTTCAGTTCGAATGAAACTTGGTGAGTACATTGCCTTAAACACAAACAGATCCTCATCTAAATAAGAGGATCCCCTTTTTATGTTTCCAAAAAAAGTAGCCCCTGAAAATTTATTTTTTAACCTAGAAGTTTAAAAGAATTTAGAAGTTTAAATTAATTAATTAATGTCCAAGAGCATCAATAGCCGAGTGAAGAAGGTGCAAGGTACTGGAGCTAGTCATCATAGGTTCAAACCTTCAGAATTTTAGTTTAGTTTTTTACTTTTCTGGCTGTTATATATAACAGGGAAAGTGTGGTGATTGGTCAAAAAATGACCCCACAAGATTCTACAATTTTGGACTTAGGACATTTTGAAACATCTAGAGATGCAAAAAATTTGGAGATAATTTCTGTATGTATTCATTAGGGTTTCTCATTTCCTGGTCCTTTGCATGTCCCAGGATTTCAAAAAAGTAATGTTTCCTGGGGTATAACTAATTATTTTTAAGATATAAAATAATCTTGAAATCAAATGCTATAATTAATTTAATATGTCCTGCAATCTCTAAAACAATAATAATAATGCTGTGTAAAATATGTATTAAAAATTAACTTTTGAATTACATTGAAATTTCCAAAAGTAGAAAAATTTTATTAAAGTATGTTGGAAACTATTTACAACAACAAAAAAAAAAATGCCATTGAATTGAGTTGAAAATTTAAAGAAAAAAAATGAACTTAGATAAAACTTCTAACTTAAAGATAATTTTTGTTTTTTAAATAAAACATAATACAAAATATTATTTTAAATTTTTATAATAAAATTTAAAAAAGCAAATATGGTCAATATTCCAATCACTCAATCTGATTCTTATTTTAGTAATGAAAAGTCCTGCTACCGAGAATGCTCTTTCTGATTCAATTAATGTGGGTGGAATCATCTTAACATCTGACTTCTCTTAAATGCATTGTTTTTTCACCTGTAGCCTCGAAGATTTCTAGTTTGTTTTCGAGATGCGTTGCAGTACTTCTTTTGCTGTCTACTATTTGTGCTTTGTCTACCCTAATTACTTT